TTACTTTGACCTTGAATATGTCCTTTAAACTTGACCTAAGTCTATTTTTCTCACCTCTTACCTCTTTATTAATTTCATATATATTCCTATGACAAGTCCGTGTGTGATCAGATTGTTCGAAATGTGTTGCGCAAATACATTACACGATTCAGACAAATTACGTCTTCTTATTGCTTTATCTAAATTCATAAAGGGAACTAATTGTTTTAAATTTCTAAAGAGAAGACTCCCTCCACACACTATCAAAAGGTTAAATGAACTTGTTAACCTTAGGTGTAAAATTATCGTCGAACGTAACACGTTGGAATTTTATGAATTAAGTATTAAAAATCATTCCTTCCCGAGACAATTTTATAAAACTTTGAAATTCAGTAAATTACAACCAAATATCTCTAATCTTGTTCGTCTTACAAAGTCACATATCGAAAATGCTAAACAAACGTTACAAGGATTACTTGTTCTTCATACCGATGCGTCACTTATTTTATCTGAATTATCAATAATATGCCACATGAAATTTCTTCAGTTTTGTAAAGACGTTACTCAGAAAACTAAGACGGATATACAAAATAAGCTGAAGAGTTCAATTGATGATCGAAACCGCGTAGATGTCTTTCCGGTGAATCCTGATAAGTATGTTACAAATCTTTCTGATATTACTCTATCTACTCATCAGAAAGAAGCATTATCCCTTGGACTCAAATTTTGTGTTCCTCGCACGCACTTTACGGATTTAGCCATACATGCTGAATTTGAAAACTTATACGACCAACTCAAACCTCTTGCCGCAACATCCGATGAAGATCGGGGTTGGTTTAAGGCCAAGATGGTGGATATAGCTCATCAGTTTTTAAACAACAACCCAAACGAGAAAAGCATTTTAAATTCCCAGCATTTCAAAGCCTTGAAAGAGCTACGGGAAAATCCTAATATCATTATTACGAAACCTGATAAAGGTTCTGGAGTCGTTATTATGAATAAAAGTGACTATCAATCTAAAATGATGTCTATTCTTGATGATAAAAGCAAATTTAGCCGTGATCCTTCCTCAGAAGATATCCAGTTGTTGCAGGGCACAGTGACAGCTAATCTACTGAAGCTTCAAGGCCTAAATGCTATAAGTAAAGAAAAATTTGACTCGTTAAAGCCATCAGATTGTAAATTCCCGCATATGTATGGCTTGCCAAAAATACACAAACCCAATAATCCTCTACGTCCTATACTCTCAATGTGCAAATCCCCAACACATACTTTTTCATAAATACTTTCAGTTATAGATAGAAGGCATAAGGAGCATGATTCCAGAAATTGATGTAGGTAGACAGATTATTCGGTGTCAAAAAACAACTAATTATATATAGTGGAATTGGATAAGAGGGGTAAGAGTTCAGATTTCTATTGGAAAACAACACAGATTGGTTAGAGGCATATTACAGGGTCAGGGTCAGAGAACAAAGTAAATTTACACATCTTGTGGTGGAGAGTTTAAGAGGGTGGGGGTGAATAGTGAAGTAACATTTATAACTTAAACACACAAACAATTAAGTAGATTTAGAAACTTGAAGGTCAAAATTGAATAGAATGTTACGTAACAAGACAAACACACAGGCATACTGACAGAAAGGCAAAACAAAAATAAAAAATTTTTATTTTGCTTTTGACCTTTTTAATATTCCTAATGAATTTTATAGGATAGTTATTGAACACCAACGCTTCTTCTATCTGTTTAATTTCATCATTTAGGTCTTTTCTTGTGCTACTTAGTGCTATTGCTCGGTTTGTTAGACACTTAACTAAGCCTGCCTTAACAGTTAACGGATGAGATGAATTAAAGTCTAAGTATCTATTAAAATGCGTTGGCTTCTTATAAACGCTAGTTTGTATGCAGTTTACCTTCTTCTATTCGTTTTATTTTACAATCTAACATAGCTAATTCTCCTTGTTCATTTTCCGATTCAAATGTGAATTTTATTCCCTTTACGAGTGAGTTTATAAGTGTCAAGAAGCTAGAGATATTTCCTGTTTTTAACACTGTGAAAGTGTAATCCACATATCTCCACCATGCTTTTGGAGTAGGATTAAATATATTTAGAGCAATATTTTCCCAGATGTCCATAAAGATATCTGCTACGATAAGGGATATTGGTGATCCCATTGCTACACCTTCTGTTTGTCTATATATTTTGCCTTGGAATTTAAAGATAGTAGATGTGAGGCATAACTGAATTCCTCAATGGGCAGCTTTGTCCTATGAGTAAGTTCAGGATCTGTAGTTAGTTCATTTTTAACTGCTTCTAAGGCCATATTGATTGGAATATTAGTATGAAGACTAGTTATATCAAAACTAACCATTGTTTCATCATTCTCTAGTTGAATGTCATTTAGTTTATTTTTCATCTCATATGAATTAGTTAGTCTAGAGTTTGAACGATTTCTAATGGGGCATAATATTAGAGCTAAGTGTTTTGATAATTCATAAGTAGGGGTATTTCTGAAATCTACTATTGGTCGTATGGGATAACCTGGTTTATGGATTTTAATAGTACCATACATTCTACTAGGATTATTAGTTTTAGGCATTAAATTAAACCATTTAAACTCACCCAGTGACAGCTTCATTCTGCGTATTAATTCCGCTGTAGATTTCTCAATCTTATTCATTATTGTATCTACAGACTTCTTAATTTCCTTCCTTCTCAATATGTTCAGTGACTTGTTCGATACAGTCAGATTTATCCAAAACTAGTGTAGAGTTTCCTTTATCAGCTTTTGTAATGACGATATTTCTTTACCGTTTTAGACTAATTAAAACTAGTCTTTCCGATTTTGTTAAGTTTGACTTTGCTTTCTTTTGATTTTTCAGGGTTAACATTGTGCTCGAACCTCTTCTGCTGTCGTCTTATCTATTGAACTTTGTGCTACTTCTATGTTAGGAATGACATCCTCTGGTATTAATTTAATAGCGGTTACGTTGAAACTTAGTACTTTCTCAAGTACTTTTACCTCACTAGAGCTTAGTTCCCTTGAATCCTTGTTCATCGAGTTTACACCCAACAAGGAATAACTCATCACTCACACCCGAAATATGGAAAATACTACTACCAATCATGTCAAGCAATGAAAAATAATGGAATTATATAGACGAAGTTAGAAAGTTGTGTGAGTAACTTGATATGATTCTGAGTAGCAATGAATAGTGCTCGAAATGTCATCAGTAAATATTACTGCATAACACTGTGAAACTTTATCAAAATAAATTTTGCCCATAATGGATTTATACTCTAACACAGTGCACAATTTCTATTCTTATATCGCAACTGTCATTCAGCCGAAAACTGATGTGAGCAACTATAGACTAGCTCAGGAGTTTAGTAATCCGAATATTCACATTTTACAAATATTAAATATTTGTTAATCATACAAACACCCAGTCAAATTTTATCTTTCTTAATGAAGATCCACTACTTAGTCTATGGTGTCTGTGGTACTGCGCCAACCCTGATGGAATTTAATTGGCAATGCTATGGTGTTAGTTCTCTCACAATTACTAGTTTGGACAGCTGAAATCTGCTACCAAGTTGTCGAACATTCATTTTGTTAACTGATATTCATGTGAATAATTTGTGACTTCAACAAAAAAAACCAAGTAAAATTATTCAGCATACCGTATGAGTTATCGACTCAAGCATTTCATTTAAAGCCAGCTATTCATGGGGATTTTAACTCCTGATAATTTAAGTATCGGTATAATAAGCTTTCAAATACACTATGCAACCTTTAGCTCGATGCAGAAAATGTATATGATACGTTATTTAACTGTCTAACAATGACAGCAGTGAAAACTTTTGAAAACAAAAAGCCCGCATATTTTTGCAATCAAACATCGTTAGGACCTTGTTAGGGATAGCCTTGATACAACACTAATGTTTCAATTAAGATTTTATGTGTCCAGAAATCAGAATTAAATAATTGATTTATTCAGTACGAAAGGAAAATAACCGACTGATGAATGTAAAACCACGACCCACTGTAATACTTGTTTAGGATTATGTAACTTGTGTAGTATGCCAAAACATTACTAGAAAAACTCTTCGCAACAACATGAATCATATATTAAGTCAACAAGTTAACATTTTCTAGTCTAACAAAAGTAATGAATTTCCATACTATACAAATAAAATGTCAGAGAGAATAAAGAGATAGTGGAGATTTCGTGTGAACTGGCTGAAGTTGGATAGTGTTATTCAAGTATAGAGAGACACGTTAGGGCAAGTGATTTCGAGGCCGATTGCATATAATTAAAGTTTCAGCAGACATTCAGGGTAACTCATGTGAACTACAGTAACCCAAATAACATGGCGTATCCATTCACACCTTTCTGTATTATAGAAAAATTATAGGATATTTATTTACCTAACTGCTTCTATAGAATTTTCAAGGGTTGGTTTGCAGGAACTTGACTGGTTACAGGTTTCGTTAGGAGCCGACATCACTTAGAGCACCACCGGAGAGAAGTGAGAAGACGTGAACAGCAGGGTTCATCAAGTTAGGCAAGAGGTCAGTCACTCGCCGATCACATTAGCTGGCAGTTGCACTACGTATCTCAAATTGGTTGAATTTGGAATTCATAACCGATTTGGTCGGGTCCCAGTGACTGGACTGTCTACGAACTTGCCTTGTAACCAGAAGGCCCTGTGTTCGAATCCCGGAGGGTGCGCATTGATGAGAGGTCCTAAACTAGGACGAAAAAGCTGTCTAGTACTTCCTGATTTTCCAATGGCTGCCTAACTGATGTCAGGTCCCAATCAAGTCTGTACTTCTGTTGAACTTGAATCTCATGGATTTTTCTGCTCCAATATTCATTATGGCTTTTTTAATCCACCATGTCAGGATTCCATACATAAAAGCAGTCAGGACAGTAAGAAGGTACTATCCAGATAATCCAAAATTATTTATATACCTTCAAAAAAATTAATTAAAACACCGATATTTCCACTCACATCTTATATTCCTGAGGAAAAAATCCGGAAGACACCTCCTTCGTACCACATACTCTACAAATGAATATCTCATTATGACATGACCTTCATCATTATATTACTTGATCAATTTGATGAGATTTTCGTGAGCGATAATGAAGGCGCTTTTTCCGTATCTTCATTCTCTTGTCCGTTGTACCAAGCGAGCGAAAGCATCCTAAACACATCGTACGGCAACATGGTGGCTCTAAAGGTATATATGTATTTACATAAACAAAGAAAAAGAAATTCAGTGAAGCCATTTTCTTCTTTTTCAACAACAGTTGCCTTTTTGTACTTAAATATGTTAAAAAGCTGGTTGTTTACGCCAAAAATTCTCAGCTATCACACATATTATGAAGCATGAAAAAAGAGTTTTTTAGGAGTGCATGAATTATGACAAGAATAATTGGAATAAATTATTTCAAGATGCGTAAAGTGAGTCAAAATATGGTAGAATAAGAAATGTGAGATAATGGTAATACCAAAAGAGATTTTTCGGGATGAAAATGACTTAGAGATTATCTTTTAGAAGATAAAGGGTTTCGCAAAATTTTTATGAATATATTTAGAGTTTCGATGTTCATGTATGCTAAGCAAAAGTGGTGAAAACGCAACCTGATGACTTCAAACGACGGATAACAAGGAGTTGAGTGATTTGAGCTCATAAAATAATGTTGATGTTTTACTCCTACTTCCTCCCAATCAAAACTGCGTTTTGTGGGAACCTGCGTATAACATCCGGCGTTTCTAGCTCCATTTGAAAATGTCTAGAGGTAGAGATATGAGGTAAGTTGTCCTCTACACATTACCAAATCGAAATCTGATTCGAGGATGAAAGTCACAAACTAGCAGGATACGAAGTATGCTTGATACGCTTAGATACCTCTAACATTTCCGTTACTGAATCCCAGATTCACAATCCTTCGAAGGTAAGGTTAGTCGGAGGATGACTTGTTTTTACGTCTCAATCGACAAACTTGTGAGGATATATATTACTTAAGTGTTGTTTAGAAACTTTGGAAGTTATTACTACTAATATTCTTACAACATATTATCTAAGTTTTAAAACATAAGATTTCTCTCACTCAAAATTATCCAAATATTAGTTAGTTACCTCTCCAATAAAAGTCGACTTTCGGTAAACAGACCTCTACGACGACTAACTGTCTCTTTTCTTCAACAAAATGTTTAAGAAGTAAATGTAGAAGTGTAACTTTCACCAACCGTAGAACTTACAGAAATCGTTGAACAGTTTCTCAGGAGTTCAGCAATTAAGTCATTTTCTTGTGCAAATAAACACTGAAGATCATGTCTTTCAATGGTTTATAGTAGAGAAATAGCATGGAACTCAGTCAGGCCAATTAGTAAGTAACAAGAACTTATCACTTTTTTTACCCAGATCTAGAATAGTTGTTTGGCATCATAAAAAACTATTCGGTTAAACTGTTCGATAAGACATAAAATTAAATTCTTAAAACCTAGTGAGCGAACCGACCAAAATGAAACGACTATGAACCATAGTCAAACATTTTCGGAAAAACCGAAGAATGAGGCCATAATTTCTGGGATAGATGATAGATATCATCTTCAGCATCTATTTGTATAAAAAACTCATAGACTGTTGTGTGTGAGAGAGTGGTGAAAGCTATTAGGCTGCTAAACACCCAAAACGAGGTTCTCTGTTGATGTTTCCTTTAAGCCTTAATTCACTTTACGGACATTTTATCACTCGAGTGACCCATAGCGAAGACAAAAATTGATATAATTGAGACGTGTAGCTTCCAGTGACGACAGAAATGGTCGAATGTTCTCTGAACTTTTGCCTTCAATCGCGGATGTTTGTTTCGTCATCAGACTTGGCAACATCTTCAGCAATGTCTTCATCAAAGACAGCAATTCCATAAAAAGATTACTTTCTAAGAAAGCTCTCACAAACATATCACTGTGCTTGACGGTTGGCTGTTTCACCTTATTTGAATGAACAATTGCCTTCGGAAATACTAAATGTTTCTATTTTCTCTAATTTTTCTGCAAGCACACCCCAGAAAAGTGTTATGCTTGGACTTACATCCAACAATCTGCGGAACTGTAACGTTCAGACTAAATAAAACCGAGCAAGTTGAAAATATTATAAAAGCCAAAAAGTACTTATCGAATATTACATAAACCATAATGTTTAATTACGAAATCAGTACTTACCTTTCAGTGCTTTGGGGACACCAATTCGAGAAAAACTATGTAGGAGTCTGTTAGTTCAAATAGGATAAGTGATTTAAAACTGCTACCGATTATAATGCGGAGATAATGCTGTATCTTTGGTAATACGCCAAATATTTTCAGTAAATAACAAATGCCGTTTGTTTTTACGATATATTTCCTCTCTGGATAAAACAAACGGATAAACCCTAGTATAAATGCATATCCAGTATACATTTTTTTAAAGTAAAATTAATTCCGCAAACAAAGCATAAATTCAGTATGTTGAATTCATTCACAGTAAATTTATACGAAAACGGAAATCTCGAAGAAAAAATACCAACGAATATCACGACCTTTAAACAATGCATAGACGATTACCCACGATCCAACTGAGAGTTGGCATTACTTATCTAAAGCTTAACAGCATCTCTACATCAGAAAGTCTTCAAAACGACTCATAGCATTTTCTTACACACATAGGATGAATTTCACAGATTCTACCAGGTTGGCCAGATGAGACTAAGTAAGTAATCGTAATTCATCCGTGCATCAAAACAAAATATCCATTCAAAAGATGCCACAGTTTTGATTAGCAAGTACTATTGTGATAATGGCTTAAAGCTTGAAAATCAAAGCTGAAATATGAATTTAGCACTCTGGTTTTCACAGAGTAGGAACAACATTCTTATGGATTGTTTTAAGATATATTTGCAAAGTTGAGAAGAAAATATGTGGAAATGGTACAAGCAGTGGGAAAAGGCGAATTTCGGGGGAAGAAAAGACATGCAGAGTGCAGGTGATGTACCAAACTTAGTATGCTTACGGAAGTATGTGATTGATATCTCGCAGCTTTTCAGACCATGGAAGGAGATTTCTTCCAATACCTGAAAGAGAAAAATGACTAGTTTTGTGTGACCAGAGAGCCCAGCAGCTGTCTGCCTGAGGCTGACCATGAGCAGTCTGTGCGAAGGTAGAGGAGTCAGTTTCCTTCATACGAACGACGATATCGTCCATCATAGGGTAAGTTGGGGAGTACAATTTCTGACGGTCTCTTTTTAACCTCTCATTTTAAGACCACAATCACCTGGTACTTTCGAAGTTGAAGGCGGATAAATAGTTCACTTTTAAAAACAAACGTTGGATAAGGATTATTCCAATGGAGTGATGTTTAACTTACTTAGACTGTTTCCTGTTAAGTGGACTTCAAGCGTTGACAGAAAACTCACACAACTAATGAAAGATCAAGCCTTATAAAGATAACCTTTTACCTAATGTGAATCAAAAAAGTAAGTGTTAAATTAATGTCCATTCTTAAGCATACACTAATGTAGTGCATATTTGTGAACGCTCGCCGAATGTGATTAGTACTGTTCGATCTTTTTCCATATTTCCTAATACCATGCTTCACGGAATATAACATATATCAGAAGGTACAGCAAAACTACTAGAATCACACAGTTAGTTTAAGCCACGTAGGAAGGTATAGACTTCCTAGTTGGGGTCCTCGGGATGGTAAAAACCAATGGCTGGAGACAATTGGTGATAAGGCTTAAAATCGTTCTCAATGGCGCAGATGCATCCACTCCTTGTGACTTATAATTTCCAATAAAACTATATGGTTCCTCCATATTACTATCCTTTTTGCCTCATATCCCTGTTTATTGTCTTATTATTATTATTTTGCATTTCTTTTTACTTTCACCTCTAGTCTGTGCTAAATGAAGTGTGGCGACTCGAACTGCTGCACATCGGTGCAAAGTTCTACGTTGTAACCAGTCAGTCAGAATCACATAAAGTATGGCATGTATTAACCGACGCAAGGACAACTGATGTTTAAATCTAGACTCGCCCTAGGAGGTTTATCACAAAATAATGTAAACAACATTAAAAACTGAGTTAATAGCTGGAAAGAAAAACTATACACAGAATATACACCTTTGATATCAGGTTTATGAATAGTTTAGGTAATTGAGATCATTACAAGGTACTGGTGAGGTTGTGAAGCTCAATAGGAAAAGTTGATATTTACACAACTAAACAAAACTCTACGTAGCTTCATGAAGCTTACTTGACACAGTAGTTTTACTGAGACTAAGCGACTTATACTGTAACTTTTGTCAAACAAGGTAAAAGAGGATTACGCATTTCCAGGTTTAGCTGAACATACCAAGCTCTGAAGTCAGTTGTTTGTGAAGTAGGGATAGAGGAGCCCTGCATCATCTAAGTACTTTGAAATCTTTTGTGTAGAACTAAATAAGACTACCAGTAATCACGTAACTTGTATGAATTCTTTGTTATTTATCAGCTGTTATCACTAACAATTCTTCAACACAAAGTTACCTTCAGATTAGCGAATGGAAGTTTCCAAATCAAACTTCAAAGATGACAGAAAGTAGGTCGTTTCCTAGTACATTCTTATTTTTTGGTCTCATTTCATGAGTGACATAACAGACCGCTTTTAGCCCATCTCCATAATTTATTCTTAGGAATCACAACACGATCACAGACTATCTGTTGCCAAAAAAGCTAAGCAGTACTGGCTAGAGAAATTTAGCAGAAAATGCAACACTAGTTTCCTCTACAGTACACCACAAACTCACAATCTTAAGTTTGAATCTACAAGTAAATCTGGTTAGATTACCACCAAGATAGGCTATACGGTTCCAGCCATCAAAGTACTACTGGTGTGCAATATATTGTGAGCTTTCACGAAACTGAGATGTCAAAGTGCCTGTGAAATCGATGGTTTTAGAGACTTATGCCCAGTTTATAACTTTGTAATAATGATCATTAGAGGTACAACGAGGTTAAACAGATAGTTAAGAAAAGTCCTTTACTAGAAAACCTATACGAAGTACACAAAAGGGTCATTCATAAGAAAACTTCAAAAGAAAAAGTTCTAAAACAGGGAAGGAAGTCCAGCATTCTATTTTAATACTGAACGATTGAACATTGACCCTACATATATGCCATAATGCGCAAACAAAGTATTCTTGATATTTTTTACTATGAACCCCAGAATGTTCAAAATCGCTATGTTAGTAAATGGTTTGTCGTCAGAATACAAGACGTCACATTTCCAATACACTGGAGACATCCACAGATGTTAACAAAGTGATGACCCAAGCAACTGATTCAGTTATGTTTACAGACCCCTAACGTCAAATTGAAGCTTCAACCATTGACATTACAAAAACGAAATCCCGGAATGTGATACTTTCCATATATATATATATATATATATATATATATATATATATATATATAATTTAAGACAATTCAGCAAAGAAAATTCCCTTTGTCGACGAAATGATCTTCAGAGGCTGTACAGTCGTGTTTATATTTACCAAAAATTTATAGTAGTATACTATTGAGTAATAGGGTGTGACACGATTGATATAATTATTCAGAAGTGGCTTGATAGGTGAAAATAAAAATTGTAAATTACGTGGTACTCAACAGCACAAAGGAAGAAAGGGTTAGAAATTTGATAAGGTGAAAATTGTTACTGGGTGAGAAGAAAGGTAGTTGAGTGTCAGTTTAACAAGTGTGAAGAGGATCTCAGCTGCATCATCACTACTACTATTAATAGTAGACTACTACACATGTTTGGTAAATATAAATACGACTGTACAGACTCTGAAGATCATTTCGTCGTCAAAAGGAATTTTCTTGGCTGAATTGTCTTCTATTACTTTGATAACCGAATGGTTATTTTCGGTGATTTATTTGAAAATGATCCAAAAAATTGGAGTTACTGTTTCACTCTGAAGGTGAAAAAAATTAGCATATTCATTATTAGAGGGGAAGACCCGGAATAAATGCGAAAATAGCTGAAAATGATGACGTGTTGTCATACTCACACCATCGCATTTAGCGTCAATGTTGCACATTAAGAGCAGCCGAAAAACAACCGTTGTTGAACAACCTATTAGAGGGCCCGCCACAAACCAATGACTAATATGTAAGGTTATTCAAAAATTCAAAAAAATAGTTTCCTTATGTTTAAACTGTACGCTTGTATGGTTTTTGGTCGGCTGCTTGGCATTCATGAGTTGTTTTCTCAAGACTATGTATGGGGACTGGCCGGGAGGAGCCTTTCTCCAACACCTCGTATAATATGGTTGGTTTATTGCAATATTCGTCCTTCATTGGTTGTTCTCTTTCTCGCCAGGAGACAAGACCCATGTAATCACCCTGCTAGTGTGAGCTTTGTTTTCTGCTTTCCAAATCACTACTGGTTCACTGACACAAGCTTGAATAAACGTTATGACAGGTGGTATGTCGTCTGTTGCAGTACTACCATTAGACTTCAATGTTTTAATCGCTGAGTCTGTATTTTGTATATTAAAGTCTATTTTGCCTAATTTGTGGTTGCTTTTACAGGTCATTTGGAAATTTTGGGTCGGGTGCACTCTGGCGTCATTACAAAACCACTCACTGAGGAGTTCACTTATAACCTGGGGATCATTGTATATTATACCCTTATGTTCCAAGCTGCTTACAGTATTGTCTTTACTGCTTTTTAGACGTTTCTCCAATATCCTACAAAGTTCCTGAGTTTTGGAGTTACCCACAAGCGCTTTATTTTCTTCAAGTTGTGACATTTTGTGTTTATCTTCAAGCAGTTTAAGAGTTTCATGTATTTGGTTTAACGCATTAAATTCCTTAAATACATGGTATTTCCTTTTCAGTTTCTTTAGTTTTAGTCGCGTTTTGAGGTCTATAAATGGAGTTGGTGTCTTTAGAGCAGATTTCAGGGGCGCGATTGTGTCTCTTGCTGAGCCAATTGTTTTGTAGAAAATATCAAGTGATACTTCTAAGTTATTGTTGATGAAGTATTCTTCCCAGTCAGAATTTCTCAACAGATCTGACAGGAATTCCCAATTAGCATTCTTATAGTCCATATATTGATAGTGCACGGGGGAATTTTTAGGTGTGCATTTAGTTGTTAGCCGGAGGGGTAGCGTGCAGTACAATATGTTGTGATCACTGTTATCGAGTTTATTTCCCATCTCTATCGAGATGGGCTCTATTTTATGACAGAGGATTAAGTCAAGAGTGTTTTTGTTTCATGCAGGGAGGCGTACGCACTGCTTCCATCCGCCTACGTCTATAGCTTGTAGTAGCTCGTCATGGATTCCAGGTCCTGTACAGTTATCCCAGTTTACTCCAGGTAATATACATTTCTCGAAATTTACTAATGTTGAGAATTAAACTAGTTTCCATGGTGTAGTTTCTCAGATTGATCAGTTGCTCCTCCAGCTGAATCGGCCCATCCTTTTCAACTGCCCACTACAGCCTTACGAGTGTGCAGAAGCGATATCGAATTTAAGGCTTTTCATGAGATTGCCTATAAAATCAGAAATTGCATTGAACCAAGAGTTGATTACTCCTATATTCCAGCGGCTACCTCTTTCCACTTAGAGATCATTCGGTTCAACCAGTTAAAACACTCCCTGTCCTCCAGAGAGAATCCAGTTGAAGATAGAGAGAGGCCGGTTAATCTGATCTTGCAGACATTTTGTAACACACTGCAGTATCAAAATAATTGCATGGTAAGCGACTGACAATGCGTGTTTAGTTGAAACGTAGAAGTAATGGTTGAGCGTGTAAATCGCAGACACACTAGTAGGCCGCTGAAGTGGAGACATGGAATATTGCACATCATTCGCTACTGCTCAGAAGAGAAAAGGAACCCTAGAAAGCGTAAACTTGAGTAGTTCCTACTTGGTTAACCATTTTTTCTGGCATATTCCTCAGTCACCAACCGCCCACTGGGTGACCCGGTGATTACAGCATGTTCAATGTGCTGTAAGGACTCGATCCAGAGCTACCATCGTGTGCCTTATAATTCGACACAGTGGCATTGTGTAGGAGAGTTATCCTCGGCCGACTGCCTTCTAATAACTAAGTCAGGCACTGCTACCGCATGGTCGTTAGTAACTTACTGTGGCTTTAAATGCTTTTTCCGTACAAACAGTTGGTCACACTCGAGAAAGTGATCTGTGCTGAATTGTTTGTGGCCGGGACTTGACCGTGTGTCATCTCTGATAGTGTTGCACAGTGATGCCTCCGTAGTATCATTCAGAAACTGTTTATCTCAAGCTCCTCTGTCGGTATGTTACTAACCGATGCTGAGTGGTTGTGTATCGAATGCAGCAGCAGCAGTGACTCGATCACACCCCACTGTCAGGTTCATGTCGATTGCTTCGGTCATTTACAGCTTGCGCTTCACATAGGAAATCAAGGCTCTGTAGGTTTCTCTTATCAGAAGCTTAATGTTGTTCGTGGTCTAGCAACACCAACTGACTCCAGGAGTTCGATCAGTGTTCGGTTAGGAAATAGACCTGACCGGAGCTTGCTGTTGATAAATCCTCGCGCCCTCCATAGTCCTTCCCTTACTAGTCCCCTGTACACATTTTTATTCCATCCGTGGTCATCCCTTTCTGAGTGACGACCGTGCCTCCGTCAGAACTGTCAGTGATGGTGCGAAGTGCCTCTGTAGTTGCTATAGCGGGCTTTATTGGTTTCTATCACCACGTAGTTGATGGTAGTGGGGGCTAAATTGTCTCCTCGACGATAGTAACATACAAGTTAGTGGATTTTGGTGGAACCACCCTCGCTCGGCTTTTCGAGACATTTGGAGATAACTTTCCGTTGTTCTCCAATCACGCAAATTAAGGCTTGTCGAGTCCAACCCCTCGGTTTTCCTAGAGTTTTTGGCTAGCCCCGCAGCAGTGGATGTTGCTGCTCGTATGGTTTTTGACTGTGTACCACATTGAAAGAGACGCTTAAACTGTCTGCGCATCCCGAGTTTTCCACCATTAGTCGTGCCGTCCCAACGGTGGTTAGGTGCAGCGACCATGTAAGCCGTGAATGCCAGTTCCCATTACTTCTGGGCCACATTTTCAACGAAGTTAGCAATAAAGGAGATAGGATAGGAACGCTTCACACCTACTCAGATTGTCCAATTACGCACATACCAATATTCAGTTTGCTATGGAACATGAAAGTGACGGAAAGTTCCACTACCTCGACATTCCCATGCGACGCCCGGAAGACGATGGTCTTCAGAAGTCTATTTTGTCGGAATCCTCCTTGCAAAACACAATACTAACATTTTAATAGTTTCTGTCCAAATAACTTTAAACGTGGACTAGTTAAGACTCTAAGCTATAGAGCGAAGAGATTATGCTTGACAGAGAAATTAGAGGAAGAATTTACGATTCTCGGAAAGATGTTGAAAAGCAACGGTTGCCCTCAAAGTTTCTATAACAAGTATGGAAGATCTGAAGGCTCGAATGTCTAGCGAATCAAAATGGAAAAAGCCCATCTGCATTCAGTCTCATTTTAAAGGTGAAAATATTACAGCAGCTGTCAACAGAAGATTGAGGATGTCATTATATCAGGATGGCGCATGCTGATCAGCAGATATGGTAGTGGTCACAAATGCAAATCGCTCCGATCTGTAGGACAGCAACATGCATTTTTTGACAGCTCGAGAATTAAACATTAGTCTGAACCCTCAACAAAAAAAAATAATAAGGGTTGTACAGATCTAAATTATAAATAAAAAAGTGCTTTCGCTCCTACCATCTACAAGCCTGTTCAGCTTCTTGTCAAGATGCTACCCATTGGGCCCTACAGAAATTCGCGAGACATCTTACAGGTCAGCTTGTCCTACGGGTTCTAATTTTCCAAATCTTTGAATTCACTTCTCACTTAAATATCACTTACCTACCTCATGATCTGTTTATTTACGCACAATTAAACTCTACTTTATCTTAACTACCTAGGCCACTATTAAAGCTAAAACTTACTCTTTATTCATATTTGTTGCTTGCCCAAAGTCTGGTTGCTTTGATTAAAAACACAACAACACCAATGTTTGAACAAAGCTATGTCTTCATCGAAAACATCATAGTTTCCATGCTTAGACCAATATGGTTAGCATTACACATTGTAAATTTATACTATCATTTCAGGTACTATAAAGCTTCTTCTTGTATTTATTTTGTAAATATACTTCCAATAATGAATTATTCATAATTGCATTTTATACCATTTTGCGGCTGTGCAGAATTTTTTTCTCTTCCTGAAATAGCGTTCAATCGCGTGGCGGCATAGCACTCCCCCAGATATACGCTGTTCACTGGTAGACCATAACTATCAGCAAGAAACAGAACGAAGTTCGGGTTGTCGCTCAACTATGATGGTGACCTTAGTAAACGGTTTACAATTTAACATTTATAAGAACCTGTTCTAATTGCTTGCACAATAAGTGAACAATTTAAACTTTTGAAAAAGTATCAATTTATGATACTTCAGGATTGTAATTTATGACATTACTGATCGTAATAATAATAATAATAATTTTTATTTCTGGAACAGAAACCAGCCATTTTTACAGGCATGAACAAATGTACACTAATTAGAACTTATAGAATATATATGATTTGTTAATCTAGAAATAGATTGAATACTGGTAAATTTGAGAGAAATATTTAAAAAGAAATGTACATATAAGGCAATAGGTAATTTTCGAGATATGCTTTCAACTGAATAATTCATGAGATATAGCATCAAATCAAAACTGTAATTGAAAAAAATACGGTATGTCAATTTCACGCGGGAATTATAAACGATTACGTTAATTGTGGAAGGTAAGTAGCATTTTTGTACAGGTGCTGGCGTGAAATATAAGAGATGCGGAATGAACAGTAATTGTAAGTAAAAGATTCATAGAGTGTTTGAAAGTCCATAAAACTTCAAATTCACCGGTAAGTACACCATAATTGTGACATTTCCAGTTGTATATGAGACCAACTTTGAACTTGTCGGCAGATTTCATGATAGAGGTGGTTC